CAGCCCCTCACTGTGGTCATCCCAAAGCCCTGAGACACTCCATGCTGTATGTGGAGGAAGCACAAAGGATCCACATTTATACTGAAAACAGGAATTTGGATGCCTTTTGGAAATAGGAGACTGATTAACCCTGAGGCTTTTACACCATCCTCTCCAAGCCACAGGGCTGTGTTCCCCTCTGTAATTCTCTGTCCTACCCTCTAGACCAACCACCAAAAGATACCTGCCAGCATCTACACACACATGAGGATTTTCTTTCGCTAAGGAAATCAGCCTGATCTGTCCTTTGAATCGAACAAGATGCGAGTGAACCAATGTAATTACAACGGTGCAAACGTTTTAAGAGCTCCCCAGCAGTCTTTTTCCTGGTCCTTTGAAAAAATGGTCCTCTTCCTTAGGTGACAGAACAGTTTCAGCATCAGAAGACCTAGAAGTGGGTACAAACTCGCCTGTCTCAACCCTGCTTTGAGAGAAACCCCCAGAAACCCACATACATGTATTCCTTGTGTATCCTGACCAGACCGGGCAAGGTTTTATACCTTTGTACCCAAGCAGCGTAACACAAATTTGTGTGAATGAGCCTCAGGGTCATGGTGTTTGGCCAACCGGACCTCCATCCCCAAACACATCGTCCTAGGAGGCCACAGAGACCGGAGGAACCCTGTGCAGAGATGGGATGGAGGAGAGGACTTGAGAAATGGGTCTGTTGGGCTCTGTATCCCAGTCCTACGGGATGTTGAAGCAAATTGCCACTAGTGTTGTCTAGGAAAGGTGGGTGCTGTGGTAGTAAGCAGTGGGTTAGCACCTGGGACAGTAAAACCTCATTGGTACTCAGCACTTGCTCACATGGACACCCACGAAAAATTCGTCCCTACTGCGCTCCTCCAACCATCCCATTAAGCAGTGGTGCCCCCCGTCACGCCCACCCCACACAGAAGGTGACACTTGCACCTCGTGTGTCCGAACTGATGGAGAAAACACTGGAGGTGGGATTTCTGCCACAAAAGGTGGGGAGAGCAATTCCTGGTCTGCTTCCCTGCTTACAAGCTCCTTGCCACCTCCTGCATGCTTTTACGAGACCTCACGCAATCAAGTCCCACACCAGATGTGGCTGACTCTGATCACTGTTACCGAAAATGTGTCAAACAGACCAGAGCCAGTGCTCCTAAACGGTGTCAGTCGAAGCCTGTTTCAACACCTTTAATCCACTCTTTCTATTTTATGCAGCAAATGAAGCTTGCATCCCGTGGAAAGAGGACTCCTGTAACATTGTACATGCAAAGAGAGAGCTGCGGCCGCATGTGCACAGCCAAGGGCATAAATGCAGCTCTTCCTAAGACTGAGTTAGAAAAGCTTTTTTTTAAAAAAAAAAAAATCTAATGGGAATAATCACCTGTAATTTTAAATCTTTGTCTTATCAGAAACTCTACTGACAAAAGGTTTTGTAAAGCTGCTGTGCTCAGTTCTCACCCAGGCAGCGGTACCCGGGACATCCAGATGTGCTACCCAGGAGCCACATCTGGCTGTGCACCACGATGCCATGGTGCTGGGGAGAACTGGGCAGCAGCGGTGAAGATGTGGAGCCCTGCAGGGGCTTGCTCATCCCCAGGGGTTGTCCAGGGCACGCAAGGTGCACCGCAGGGACCTGCGGTAGGTGAGGCGCATTCCTGCGCTGCGCGGTGACCACATTTCCTGAGGAAAGGTGACGGGAAGGAAGCGGGGACTTGCCCTATTTATAACGTGGCCGGACACGAGCGTAATTTCACATGAGAAACAAAAGGTGCTTCGCTGGCCTCAGGCCTGGCCCCTCCTAAATTTCGCTGCCTGTGAACAAGACGATTTTGCTGTCTGTCTCTGTTTTACAGAAGCCCGTCAGCATCACGTACACCAATGGGCACAACACGTTTTTCACAGCTCATCAGTGAAGCTCCAAAGCTGGACATGGGTGGCTCTGGCAGAGCAGCCGTGCCTTGGTTTTGCAATTCTGTGTCTCTCCACATCCAGACGACATTTACAACAAAAGCCCATAACTCCCAGCTGTTTCACTGGCCATAAAACCTCTCCTCCGCCATCCACGGAGCAGAGGGATATTCATACCACCTGTGCAGCTCCACCAGCGATGAAATGAAGCCTTTCTCCAGCAGCACGATGCCTGGGATATTAAGATAATAGCACTGCAATAAAGTGTGAACAGCTTTGTAACCAGTTTGTGCTCCAACACAGTCTGGCATTTAAGCTGCAAAACAGTTTCATTCAGCAGGACTTTTTTTCCCATTCCCTTTTTTTTTTTTTTCCCCTATTTCTACAATGTTTTTCACATAAAATAACCATTCTGAGATCTCACTTACTGCTAGGAATCAGTTTTAAGGAGCAAGTGCTCTCCAGGGGCACCTCAAGTGGCACCAGAAGTCCAGGCAGACGAAATCCCCTCCTACCCCAAATGCACAAGAGGACCCCAGGTGCTTAATGCTGTTCGTTCACACCCCCCAACACCAATCCATGTGGGGTTTTTGTCTTTACAATTTGCCTTTTTGGCTTTAATAATTATTTAAGAGACCGTTGTTTTGCTCCAGCTCCCTCTACCCATGCCTCCCAGCTTTCTGCAGTTAAAATAAGCATGCCTTTCTTTCTAAACTTTGACAGGCAGCACTACCAAGGACGGCAGCATTTATGGGGGACCTGGGCGGCTCTGTATATTCTCTGCCCTTTCCATTTTATTTCATTCACGACTACTTAGGGCTGAAGCAGACCCATATCTCTTCCTGCATTCTGCCATACTGACCCAGATTGAAGGCTTTTAAGTAGATCCTTGGGTTTTGCCCTAATCCAGAGCTCCTCCTGGGACATCACCCCGGTCCCCTGCAAACCCCTGCACTCAGCTATTTGCTCTGGGCTGCTCCTTGCCCCATACCTCCCAGCACCAGCCCAAGGCAGTTCCTTTTGCTGTCACTCCTTGCCATTTACAGGGAGGGCAGCACTGCTCTAAACACTTCTATTTATCGTGGTAATCTGAACTGAAAGAGAAGAAATACACCTGGTGTGATCCCCACACCTCTGCAGTGGACTGGCTGTGGACATTTACACCAGCTGCAGCTCTTGCTCAACGCAGTGTGAGACCCATCTCCACCCTCCGACTGCCTCCTTGCAGGGCTGTCTGAGCCAGAGGGCACCTTTTGGGCTGCACACAGCTTGTGGCAAGAGCTGGGCTCGTGGGATGCAGACACCCACCTGCAGGAGGGCTGCAGGTTGCATTTTGCAGCACAGTGCACCGTAATGCTACGGTTTGCATTTTGCAGCCCTGCCAGGTATCAGCGTGGAGCTTCGGGCACAAGACCCCTTTGCTCTGCAGCTGTTGCCCCCTCCAGCAGGGAGATCTGAGCCCCTCTGGCACTGGAGAAGGACACGCTTTGAGCTGGCAAGTCAGGCTGGGAGCAGCAAGCCCCAGCCTCTGCTGCCATTTCTGGGATGCTCGGGGCTGCAGCACAGCGCAGCGATGAAGCCCACCCAGCTCCCTCTTGCAACATCAGCAGACTTCAGCTTGGCTTTAATCCCCTTTCTGTGATCACAAGGCTGCAACCCAGCACAAACAAGATTTTTTATTTCCCCCCCCCCTAAATCACAAAATCTGTCTTTTAAACTGTGTATAGTGAAAAAAGGAGGGAGCCTCAGTGACTGCTGTCCGCAGCCTAGTCTGGTTTTCCTCCTGGCTTGCGGCTGCCAGATCACAGCAGCAGCACACCAGCACCGTAAGGGATTACTCAAACTCCCCTCACCTCTGTCACTCAGTTCTATTTATCCCTGCAAGACTGCTTTACTTAAACTGAAGAAACTGTAAAGCCCTCGGTGACGTGAGAGCAAGCAAAACCAGACAGAGGGTGATGATGAAATGCTACGCCATAACCATCTGGATTGCAGAAATGACACATTGAACGGGAAAACAGAGTTTTGCTGGAGGCCCGGGGGTTGCACAGGAGGACCCTTTGTAAGACTTGCTCACTGCCCACAGACAGTTTCTGGGCTGTCTGAGCAAGCTTTTATCAGTTGCTCTGTAAAATGGAAAACAACTCAAGCACAGAGTTAACTGCATGATGGCTCCTTGCAGGCTGTGAGCAAGTTGAGGAGTGATGGCTCTGAGTCATTGGCTTGGAGATTTGGGGACATATCCTGTCTGCCATTGCAGTCTCTGCAAGACTTCCCCCCAAAATGAGGCCCCAACGAGGCATTGCAACTCAGGCTGTGATGAACCACTGGCCGCTCCTCCTCCTGTTCAATAACACCAACCCTGCAAGCTCCTGGTTTTAGAAATGCTTTACTGCCCTGGCTGTGTCATCTCTGCCACAGCAGAAGAAAAAAGCTGCATGTGCAACTGATTCACTCACTCCTGGCTAATTTTCACATTTAACCATAGTCACGATTCCTATGAAGGACTCGAGATGCCCTCACATAATTAAATATGCAATTTACACAATTAAATATACAATTTGCCCAATTAAATTAACTCAATGGATTGAAACCACCAATGCCACAGGAACTCAGCTGCCTGCCTATTTAGCATATCCCCTCGCTCACACAGAACGGCATCCGAGGCTTGCTGCAAACCCCTCTCAACCTATTTTCCAGCAAACCCTGAAAGTCAGCAAATTTTGCTTTTCAATGGAAAGGGAGGAAGCAAGTTGCAGGGACTCAAAGCCTTTATAGATAATGTCTTGCCAGCTGCCTCTTCTAATGAAAGTGGAGGGATCTGGCTATGCTAGAATATTTAAGGGGAAGAGGAGGTCTGGAGCAATACAGGACATACCCCAGATTTCAAAGGCAAACTGGAGGGACAGACAGACAGCATTTTCAGGATATTAGTGCTCCACTAACAGTTTTTGCATTAATTCAATAGTAACAGCTGCTAAACAGCAATGTTGTTCAAAGACACTCCAAGAGACAGTGGGAGGAAATGAGCAATGAAGAAGTGAAGGCTAAAGAAATCATTAAAGAGAGGTTTCACCTACCTCCGGTCGTTTCTCCTCCTTCTGAAGAGCTTTTTGGTGTGTGCGATTTCAGCTTCATGAGGCAATGGATGGTAACCCTGTAATACAGAGGGAAAAGCAACCATCAATTCCAAGATACAGGAGGCATCGATATGTAGGTGCTCGGAGAGAGACAGAGCTGTGTGCCCAGCGCGTGAGGCTGATTCAAGAAAATGCTCCTATCTGCAAACCCTTACGAAACACAAACCAGGACAATACCTCAAACCCGACCAACACTTTCTTCTCCATTTCTACTCTTCCTCTCTCCACTGAAGGTGCCAGGTTGCCTGGCTCTGATTTGGGATGTTTGTCTGGTGAGAGGGGTGCTGTATTTACCACCCTGCTATGGCCTTCGAGGCTTCACTGATACCAGCAAAGGGATTCGAGGCTCCTGGTCAAAAGGCACTACGCGAGTGCAAAGTGTTACTTATTTCCCAGGGACTACGGAGCTGTCATAGCCATAATGATTATTATTTATGTAGCATTGTACTTCCCAGGCTGGCAATAAAAGCCTTGTAAAAGTCAGTCCTTTTATTTCCATGGCAATCTATCTCACTGTTTGAGCTGGAGCCTGTGCGAAGGGCCACGGGGAGCAGTAAGGTAAGGGCAAGGGCTGGGCGGGATCGGCTGTCATCGAGCAGCAGCTTTATCACATTGGCATGACAACACTGACTGCAAAAAACGTCCCTCTCTGTGCACAGATAGCCTTAAAAATTACAGTTAATTTTAGTAGTGGTTACGGGTACAACAGTATTTTGTGATTTTCTGGTGGAAGATGTAACAGAGGAGAAAGGTTGCTGCGGATTGCAAAAAGTCTGAGACCAACAGGGCTTCTCCTGACCATCCAGCCTGGAGAAAGGCACCCCACAGCTGCTGCAGCACACCCACAGCTCCTCCATCTGTGGAGCTTGTCACTCTGGAGACCGTCACCCTTTGAGATTTGAGGCAATGGAGAAGTCACCGAGCCCCTGGGTTAAGTACTGCTGCTGGCTAGCTTGCCCCCATTTCAGCCTTGCTTTGCCAGCAGGGTTGAAGTGTGTTTTTTTTGGAAGGTGTTTTCCCTCTTAACTTCCCTTTTCACATCTACTCTTCCAGACAAAATCACCCCACACTATAAAGAGCTCTCCTCACGCTCCCTGCACCTTGCCTCAGCCCAGCCTTGGCTAAGGAGGAGTAGGCTGGGGACAGTGAGAGAGAGAGGCCTGCTCTGCCTGGGCTGTGGTGGGATTATTATTTGGTTATCTGGGTTTGACTGGGCTTTTCCTCTAGCCAAACACCTTCTGGTTAATTCTCTGTGACACCACAGAAGCACAGAGACCTCCCTGAGGAGCCCCCACACCGACATGAGGCCTGGTGGGTGGAGGGAGCTGCTGGGGCTCCACTACAGGCCCAGGGCCTCTGGGCCTGGCCATGGGCACCACCAAAAAGAGCCCAGACACCACTGAAACGAGCCTGGAGATCTCTCATGTCAAGCAGCTTGAAATTATACTGAACCCATTGCATTACTGGGATGGCAATCTGAGGCCTTGTCACCTATTTGGTTGCTTCTCATTCACCAATTGCACAGGAGGAGCTCAATCTCCCCGAGATCTGGTCCTCCAAAAATTCGCTTGCAATTGGCCTGTGGGTACCAAAGCTAATGGGAAAAGGAAGGGAGGGAGCAGACGCACACAGCCCAATCGCATCAGCTGTACGAGTTTAGGAAACGAGGCTAAAATTAGCACAATACTCAGCGAGACCGTTTCCAAATGCTGTACTACCACAGCAGGCTAAAGCTTGGGGTATTTTGAAGAATTTAAGCCACGCTGCAAACACATGTGCAAATACAATTACCCTGAAAAACGAAACCATCTCCGTGGAGCACGAGCACCCAAAGTACCGATTTCCTACGAGCAAAGCCTTCATTAAGTGTTGGGAGCTCGAGTCCTGCCCATTCCAACCAGAAACCATCGGCAGAGCCATGCACTGCTGTGTGGCCTCCTCACAGCACACTGCTGCTCCTCCTCAGCCCTCTGTCCCCAAGAACAGACGGCCTGGGTGTGAGAGATGGGTTAATGGCACAGGAACGTGTCTCCTAACCCAAAGAGCATGTCTGGCCCCTGCCTGTGCCCGAGCAGAACGCGGCGTCCCCGCTTGGAGAAGCAAGCATCTCCGTTCTCCAGCCGAGCGGTTCCCTTCCTTAGTCCAAGCCATCAGACAATGTTTTGGAAAAAAAAACGTCACTAGTCCCTACTCTTTGTCTATTTCGGTGCCTAAGCAAAGCTAAATTTGGAAGGGAGAAAAGTCGACTTTTTTTTTTTTTTTTTTGTGCAGCAGGCTGATGTAAAAGGAAATATCAGCAACTCCCAAGAAGGGCGGAGTGCCCGGCCAAGTCGAGGGCGCTGGGTGGGTGGGTGCAGGCCAGAGTCCCAAGGGCACAGTAAATGCATTTATGACATGGCTCTTTGATTTGTCTGGAGGCTGCTCCCCACCACAGGTCACGCAGCACGGCGCTGGAAGTGCCTTTAGCAGAGCTGATTCACTGAGGACAACGTGGATCTGAAACGCAGCTCTTCCGTTTTTTGGCTCTTTACGAAGCTGAAATCCCAGAGCAGAACCAAAGGGATTTGCTTCACCAGGCAGAGGACCACCCTCTGCCCTGCAATGGGTCTACAAGAAGGACACCAGAGGGATGCTCCTCGCTCCTGCCCGAGCCAGCAGCCAGCAGTGAGCTGAGGTGCCCACGGATTTCACACGCGGGTTTGCAACTTGTCTGTGGGCAGTAAAATCGCATTTGGTCTCTCTCCCACAGCGGTTTTATTTTGATATTTATTCACAGGTGGCTTGAGAACATAACAAACAACATTTCAGTGCTGCTGGTTCTGGAAGCGAGAGGTGTGGGAAAAGCAAAGAACAAGGACTCCATGGTCTTCGGAAGCACCACTAATAGAGGTCATTTTCAATCTTGGAGCAAAGCGCTCTGCGGTTTACATGGTGGTAAACTTGGAGCAGAACCTGAGAAGCCCATGGGACTTCTAATGTATGTACGCGTATGTCAAAGTTAAATTACAAACATGCACACTGCTACAAGAAAGGCCAGCAGCTCTGTGAGAGAAGGACCAGCCCGCTCTCTGGCCAGTCCCCTAGAGATCAGCTCTGATGTGCACATTATTTTTCAGATGTTTTTCGGAAAGCAGCTCTTGAAGAAGAGGTGGTGGTGTCTGGCAAGCTTAGGTGACTGTCACCTGGGCAGCTAGCAGGTGCCAAGGGAAAGCTGTCCTTTACCTCGACTGCTGCAAGCAGGCTGCAGAGTGGGACATCTCTGCTGGGTGCTGGGAGGGACACAAGGAAGAGAGGCACAGACAGTGAAATGGGGAGTTTTTGGAGCAACCCTTCTCTGGGATGGAGCTTTTGTGCTGTTTTTCTTATGCCCCTTATGCACCATCACCAACTGAAGAAGTTTGAGGAAGGCAGCAGCTCTGTCTCTTTTTATGGATGATGGCAAACCCCACCGCAAATCACAAGGCCAAGTTCAAGGGCATTCCACAAAGGCTTAGTAAAAATATACAGGCATATGAGAGTCTGGTGTTCATTGTTTCATCTCTATTCTGCTGACGTCTGCTTAATGCAGCCTGACCCTCAGCTGCCAAACCTCACCCCACACGGTGCCCTTCTTCACCGCTCCCCACACCATCAGCCTCTGCTGCAGCCGCTGAACAAGATGCTCGCAGCCCCGATATAGTCAGGCAGGCAAAGGTGACTCAAAAGGGAAACCCAGAGCAGGCAGACTGAGAAAAGCAGTGGGACAGATGGAAAAAACCGAGGCTGGGGTGATAGGAGAAGTAAAAGAAATGATCTGTCCGTATCGCAGTATCGGTCCACACGAGCTTTATCTCAAAAGCCTCTGTGCCCTCAAGAAACATCTCCACCCCTGCTTATCTTAAGCAAATGGTGGCAGAAGGCCTGAGCTGAACAAACAGGTTGTTAGGCCGCCAGCAGACGCCAGGAGCTTTGCTCCGTTTTATTACACCCAAAGTTCAGGGTGGGATTTATTTTCGGAGGCGCTGGGAAGTGACGGGCAGGGCTGGGTTTATGGCAGCACTGAAAACACTGCCTCTGCGACAGCAGCGACAGAAATACTGTGGCTGAAGGCAGGGACAAAAGCTAAACAAATATTGCAGCTCCAGAAATGATCCACAGAAAAACCAGCCCAGAAAGTCATAACATACCCTGGTAAGGTTTCCATCCACCTATATGACGGGTTGTTCACTGCAGGACTGCAAAGGGTCAGGTTGAAAAGCTTGGCCCAGGCAGTGCCCATGTGGGATGAGCAGCACGGGGACATCTCCCACCAGAGATGTCCCCATCACCCCCGGGGCCAGCATTTCTCGGCACCAGGGGCACTCTGAGCAAAGCAAGCTGCTGGGAGACCACTTGCCGGTACCTCTTCCCCTTCCAGGAATTCCCACAAAAGTGTCCTGCCATCCCCTCTCCGCTGACCCGAGGGGAATTTTCTGCCTCTTGAAAGAAGAGGGCTGTGGCACAACCCAAAGCCTTGACCTGATTTGGAAGCCATGGAAGAATACCAAACAATGGCAGGAAGGGGCCTGTAAATGATTTCCTCTCCGTTAAAATTTAAGTGATAAATCTGTTCCTTCAAATTGCAAACTATTCATTTTTCCTGGAAGGTGCTCGCAGTATTAGCTGCTTCTGAACGAGGAATCAATCAGTGCTCTTTTATCAAGACTCAAAGCCAAGTGGATAGAAAGTGCCACGATTTCACACCGTGCTCCAAGCCCAAGGCAGAAGGTGGCTCGGTTGTCACAGCCCTGTGCTGTAGTGGCTCTCCCACCACGCAGCACACATGGCACAGCACACGTGGCTTCTGGCCACCTCTGAGGGTGACTTTTCAGTCTAAATTCAGCTACAGGTTGGCAGAGGTGCCTGTGCTTCCAGCACAGCTCCTTGGGCTTTGCCTGAGCCCTGCAGTGGTGGCGGAGGAGGGATGCTCGGCGGGGCCTAGGGAATAGGACGTGCTCGCCCGATGAATCATGGCACGGCGCAACACGCCTATCGAATG